TAGCAATTTTCAACACAAACATTAAAATCCAAGAGAGCTTTCCGCCATAAAAAAAAAAAAAAAAAAAACAACGAAAAATCAAGAAGAGCTTGAATACACTCTGAGCTCTGGGGAGCTTGGATTTACCTGCCAAAAGTAAACTCAGGTTCATGGATGTCTTTAAAAATAGCCAGCAGGGCTGGGTCATCAGCAGAAAGTAGTGTCCTGGGAAAAACGGTGAGGCCTGCTGGCCCCCAAAGCCGCACATCTGTAATCCCAGGCTTCTGCATGAGGAGACCCTGCCCGCGGGCCCTGCCCCACAAGACGGTGAGGGAGCTTGGTGTAGCCCAGCCTGGCCTCCAGGCACAGGTGACGCATGTGGGTTCCTCAGGCCAAGGGCAGCAGGCTGGGCCTCCTCCAGGCCCTGAGGACCCGGCCTCACGTGGACTCGAGTGTGTTAAGTGGGAACAGGTTGCGGTTGGTGGGCGTGGAGAAGTAGAGCTGTTCACTGGGTGCATGGTTGTCACACGGGCTGCTTAGCCCCAGCGTCCGCTCAAAGTCCAGCAGCTGCCCCATGAAGTTGAAGTTGGGCGAGATGTTGGATTTTTTCCTCTTGACGAAGTCATAGGCGTCATTGAGTGACAGGTTCATCTTTTGCATCAGGTAGGCCACAGTGACTGTCACCGAGCGGCTGATGCCGGCCAGGCAGTGCACCAGGACACCACACTTCTTGGAGCGGGCCTCATCTGAAACACACAGGCAAGGGTCAGGGAGGTGCTACTGCCACGGACCCCTCCCAAACAGGTGGCAGGTCTGCCACGGCAGCGAGGCTGGGCTCCATGTGTGACTCTTGGAGGACCTGGCCTACAGGGGCAGGCTGCTGACATGGTGCTATGGAGAGGGCCATCGCATGCTTCTGCTCCAAGTCCCCGCACATCTCTGTGTCCCTGTGTCCTTTTCTGCACCTTACCTGGGCCTGTCTTTATAATACTCCCATGAGAACTGGAGTCAAGGAAGGGGTCAGTGGAGACCCACTGCTGTCACAAGCTGTTGGGGTCACTGCTCATCCTGCACTTGCTACAAATCAGGGTGTCACCCATACCCTGGACGGTCACCGTGGCCAGGTAAACTATTTTATCAAAATGGAAATAGGGCTGGGGAGATGGCTCAGTGGAATAAGTGCTTCCCTGGCAAGCGCAAGGGTCTGAGTTCAATCCCTGGTTCCGCCAAAAAACCAAACAAACAAAAATGGAAATAGGTGCCGAGACAAAGCTACAAGCTCAAGGCCAGAGAGGTGCTGCAATGCTGTGGCCAGGGTGGAGGTGTTTGTTCTCCTGGTGTGGCTCCCATGGGCTCTGCCAGGGCCTCCTGGGAAGCAGATAAGCAAGAGCTTCCCCTGGAAGTGGGGAGCCCAGCCAGCTCTGTACCCAGCTCTATGCTCTGCCCGGCTAGTCCCCAAGCCTCAGGTCCAGCTCATAATGTCCTGGGGACTTGGGTTGCAGCCACATCTGAATTCTCTCAAATGGGGTCTGCTTAGTTGGGGGCCATGCTCCCAATCTGTCGGCCCATACGCCAGCGACATCTCTCACCATAGCGAATGGGGCCTGGCCAGTAAAGCTGCCTGCACATCTGAGCAACTCAGCGCTGTGATCTTTTCCCCTGAATCATGCCACAGCTCCCTCCGTCTGTGCCACAGCCACACCAGGGACACAGGTGAACAAGCAGTCTAGGATCTTTGCAGTTGCCACTTCCCTGAGACCAAACCTACTGGAAACCAGGCACTAAGCGCTAAGTCAGTGCTGTCCTACAAGATGACACACAGATTCACAGACTATTCCTTACTGTCTCTGGATGACCCAGCTTCCTCTCCCCATCTCCATTCATTGGAGGGATCCAGGATTAAATACACAGTAGGTGCTTAATTCACACTCAGAAAGTGACAGGAACACCCCTGGCTGTGACATGGAGACAGGGCTAGCAGGGAGGACAGAAACATTGAGGCGCCATGTGTAGCCTTATCTGACCTTGAGATCTGGGGCAAGAGAAGGGGTCAGTGGGAAAAAGATTCCAGGGGTGACACCAGGGTGTGGGGACTGCCTTGCCCCCTCCAAGAAGATCCAGAGTGAAACTTTTTCTGCTGGCTTTATTTTGAGCCCATTTAGGGCCTGGCTTGATCTTATTCCAATGAAACCTTTGGAACATTAGTGCTTCAATTCTTTCACTTGTTAAATAGAGGAAAAGGCTCCCCTTCAACCTGTCTGTATCCTATTCTCTCCTGCTTTCCCTCACCAGATGTGGAGGAACCTTCAAGAAGGATAAAAGTACCACAAGCCAGGTTCAGCCCTTGGGAATCTGGGGTCCCCTCTCTGCTCCCTCTCCTTGGTGGAGAAATTGAAGTGCGAGGCAGCACCCACGGCCCACTTGGTAGTGTTCTCAGGCAGAGGGGAAGCTTTAGGCAGCACCAGTTGTGCTCCCTCCTCCAGGCCTTAGCTTCCTTCCTCCTTCCCTGCCAGGTACCTGGTTTTGGGTCTCAGCAAGCGGATGAGGTGAGGAAGCCTCCCACTTCCTGTTATTAAAGCTAGCCCAGCCCAGCTGACACCAAACGCCCTCCAGTGGACACAGCCAGTTGCCATTGGGAAATAACTGCCCAAGCCACCCCCATCTTGCCATGGAGGCTGGCAGAAACACTGGGTCACCAGGCTCAGAGTACAAGTTTTACATTCACAATGAGCCTGTGTCCCTTCCTCACAGCCTGGGTGAGACCCAAGGCCAGGAGATGACCTGCAGTTTAATAGTCTTCAGCTAGCAGAGGAGGAGGCATAAGAGGAGCCTCAGTTTGCTGAAGCTGGGGATACAGGCATTTGTCAGGCTCCGACCACCTTCTCTGAATGCCCTCCTTTACTCTAAACAAATGCCATATACTGCTAAGACCACCTGGGGTCCCACAGAGGCCCTCGGAGGTGCCACATCCTGACAGCTGTATGTCTGGATGAGTCTCTGGCTCCAAGGCTATCTTTTGGTTCTCTCAGGCACACAGTAAAGCCCAAAGAGGCCTGTGACAGTCCCATCCTGGAGAGACATGTGCTGAGGCGTGATACAAACCAAGGGAGGTCTGTGGGAGTCTACGAACTGTGATGTTTCAGCTTGCTCAGCCTGAAACAACAGCAAAGCCAGAAAAACCTAAGGTGGACAGCACAGAGCCCAGGACTCAGGGGACTGCTCAGGTCTGGACAGGCAGAGGGGCCCGAGGGACTCGGTGAGTCACAACAGGCATGGGTACACCCACAGGCACACGCTGGCACATGCAGGGCACACACAGGTCTCAACAGGCCCAGAGGTTCCCAGTTAGGCAGGGGCGACACCCAGAGTCCTACACACACCTTGAGGTGCCCACCCATCCACCCACTCACCCTACCCAGCTCCCAGTACCACCTACCAATGAAGCTGATGGCCTCAGGGAAGAACTGGGAGAGATTCTGGCTCCAGTGGTCAGAGATGGGGATCTGCTTGTAGGTGAACTCGCCACCGTGCTCAAAGGCATTGGGCAGGTTGGGGGTAACATTGAGGATGTATTTGATGCCGTACTTGCCGAGCACATCCAAGTTGGTGGAGTCCTTGGCACAGCCGAGGTAGAGGTAGGGCAGAATCTGGACAGGGAAGGCTGGCTGACTGGACGGCACAGGGCTGCCGTCTGACTCGGTGGCACTGCTGGGTAACTCTCTGTCTGACTCGCCATCAGAGCAGTCAGAGCTGATACGTAGGCCCCCCAGGCCCAGCACCGAGGTGGGTGGAGAGTCACTTGGCGAGGAAGAGCTGTCCACATTGGTTTCACAATGCTCCGAGTACTCGGTCTGGAACTTGTTGAAACCACCTGTGGCCAGGGTGAGATATTGGTTAGAGTCCAAAGGGGCCTCACAAGACCACCGATGGCCAGCATTCCCATGTCAGCCTCATGGTCGACATGGCCACACCAAGGATGCTACATATGAACGCTTTTTCATTTGTACTCTCCATCTAAACTATGGCCACTTCACAGATGAGGAAACTAAGGCCAGAGCTCTGAACCCTTACCTGGAATGTGTCAGCATCCCCTAGCCCTACTGCCAGCTTTAGGGACCTTGAGGTAGGCCCCAACTCTTTCCTCTTCTGCAGCTGTCTCATCCATTTTAACATCCAGTAATGCTCAATAAGTGAGGGAGAGAGGAAAACAGACAATATCCTCGCTCAGGCCAGCACCTGTGGATCTGCCAACCCACGTTACAGATGAGACCCTAGGGGCCATATCGGTCAGCCAGCGGCAGAGAGGGCCACAGCCTCCTGACAATGTATGGACTGCCCTTCCCCAAAAGCCTAGAGGGGAGGGTGGTGTACAGGTACCGCCTGGTCCTCCTTCCAGCAGAGGCAAGTTTGTCAAAGGGCTCCCAGGTCTATTTCCCTGGAGCCCTCCCTCAGAACACAAGGCCCACGGCACTGGAACTGCACAGGGGAGGGCCACAGAGGTTATACAGGGACAGAAAAGATGGGGAGCAGCTTGCTGCTAGGCATGGGCCCTGCGCCCGAGGGTGCTGCGGGCCTCCCCTTCCCTGCTGCCCATCCCACTGCCAGCGAGAGGCCATTTTGGAATGTTAATTGGAAACATGGGCTGCAGCCACTCAACCACCCCCCTCCACCCTGCCTCTTGCTTCCATAAGCTATGGGGTAGCAGGCTGGGGTTTTGGGGAACCTGGGCGACCTGGGCCAGGGTAACAGACAACGCCTGCAACCTCTCTCAACAGGACAGTAATTCCCAGATGGCAGGGGCCATACAGGGATTCCCAGAGATTTCAACATAAACCTCCCCATGTAAAGGAGGTTGGATGGTGCTATGAAAGGTGCCCTTCCGAACCCTGGCCTTCCCAGGACACGAATTCTAGGTTTAGCCTTGGGCCCTGCCACTATTGGGTTTCAGAAGGCAGCCTCTGCCCCTCCTCTGAGGAGCTCAGCTGGAGCATGAACACTGCTGTCGCCCCATCAAAAGGAAAAAAAAGAACACCCCAGGCGAGGAAAAGTTTGTCCCACCCACTTGAATCGTGCCTAGAACGGCGGCCCCCAGCGTCTGCCTAAACCCTTGCTGTGGGGAGGGCGGACACAGGCCAGGGGCGACGTGGCGTCCGGCCTGGAGGATGGAGCACAGAGCTCTAAGAGACAGCGGGAGAGCCTGGATCCCATAGGGGTCTGGACGCTGCCCTCACCTTGGAGGTAGTAGGCCTGGCAGCCGTCGTCGCGCAGCTTCTGCAGGAGCAGGCCAAGCACAGAGGCGGGGGCGCCGGGCTCTGGCTGCCACTCGGCTGTGGCCTCGTCGTAGAGCAGCACGGTGGCTGCCTTGCAGCGCGTGGCGAAGCGCTCCTTGTCGGCGTGGTTGGGGATGATGGAGCGGATGGGCAGGTTGCCCTTGCGCAGGCGGCGCAGCATGAGGCCCGGAATGGCCAGGTTGATGGCCGTCTCAATGTGCGAGGACTCGAAGAGCTCGTGTGGCCGGCAGTCTAGCAGCAGCAGGGACGCGCCACCGCGCGCCTCCAGCTCCTCCTGCAGCCACTCGGCGCTCTTGCAGGGCATGGCTCCAGCGCCCGTCACCGCGCCCGCCCCAGTGCCCGTGCCAGACCCAGACCCCGCGCCGGGTTCCGACCCCGCCCGGGTGTCCCCAGCCGCCGCAGCCCCCGAAGCCGACATGTGCGCCCGCGCTGGGGGGCCGCGGAGCTGGTTTTTCATGGGGAGCGCGGGCCGCCCGGGGCCGGGGCCGGGCAGCCCTGCCCTGAGACAGCGCCCGGCCGCGCGGGCCCCAGCCGCGTCTCCGGGCGCCCGCCTCCTGCCGAGCTGTGCCCGCCGCCCCGGCCTCCCGGGCCTCAGTCCCGCCCGCCTAGCCTCCGCGCGCGCAGCGGCCTGACAGCCCCAATTAAACGGCGGCTCCGGCGGCCGCGCGCCTAGGCGTCCTCCCGGGGGCGGGGCCGGCAGCCGGCGCCCGGGCTTAAAGGCGCCGCGCCGCCGCGGCCCCTAGCTCAGGACTGGGCCGCGAGCCCGGCACCCCGCACCTCCGGTCTCACTCGGCCGGGAACTAGGTACCGCCAGCTCAGACAGTCGAACCCAGCCACCTCTTAGTGTCCCCCGTACTCGCCCTCCTAGCTCTTCTGTGCCTCAGGGGAAGAGCTAGATCAAAGGCTCTCCATATCTGGCACCCAGCGTTTACAGAAGCAGAGGTGCCCCGGGACTGCGAGGCGGGGCCAGGAGCCTGTTACATCAAGCCAACCTCCCCTCCTGCCGCCGGACCTCTCATTCATTCTTTCCCCCAGTTCATTCAGCAAGCGGAAACTGCACGCCCACTACGTGCCAAGCACGGTTCTAGGCGGACACCGCTTTATAGGCGACGACCGCAGCATTCCTTGACGCTCAGTGTCAGAGACGGGAGTGTGTGTGTGGGGGGCTTAATCCCTTCAGGCTTTCAGAGAAATCCGCATCTAGGAGACTGGCAGGGCTGGATGGCTCAGATATGATGCCACCTTCCTAGACTAGGGGAAGAGAAGGCCTGGGAAGGAACAGCGAGCCCTTTAAGAAAGCGTTTTACAGGCGGGTGGTGACAAATGCAGAGTGAAACGCCACGTGACTTTTCCCCTGGAGCGGGTAGAAGGGAAGTGCTCCGTATAATCAACTGTCTTTCTCCTTGCGCCCTCCCAGTGCACCAATCAGCTTTCGAGGCAGGCGGGCACTCACTACACAAACCGCCAATCACAAACGAAGGCGCTATTGGGGTGGGGGGGCACCGTTGGCTCCACCCCGCGCGGGAAGTGGACTGGACCCTCACAAACTTGGAGTGTAGGTTTGGTTGGCGGACAAGGCAGAGGAGGTGAATGGGCACCAGGTAGTCTTGGAACAAAACTGCTCGATTTAGGCAGCGCGCGTGCGCAGGACCTGCAGCGCAGTCCCTACTGAGCGGGGTGGCCTTTCACTTAGGAAGGAGTAGTCTGCCTAGTTGGTTCTTCGCCCAGGTGGGTGCCCTCAAGTCTTTGGGACTTAATTCACCTCCTCAGTCTCAGCTGGTTAGCTCAGAGCCACCTTGCCCCGACCCTCAACTGGAGGGAGTGTCGGGTCAGAGGGTGACAGTGCTTGAAATTTGCTTTAGTGAGGACCACTGGAGCCAAAGCATTTCCGCCTTCAGCTGTCCACTGACCAGAAGGCACAAAAAAGTAGCTCCAGCCTCCTCAGTCTTCCCAGAAGGATAGCCTATCTGCAAGGTTCTGTCTGTCCAGCAGGGCTCTGTCAAAAAATAGCAGGGGTTTCTCTGACCACTGCTGCAGTGGAATGGAAGAGTCTTACCCATGGGGATTGCATGCCCAGAGTGCTAAATCAGAGTCAACCCCCTGCCCAGGGTTGACCTTAGGTTGCTGAACAAAGCCTGCTCCTGGGTACTAGAAAGAGATTTCTAGGCCTAAGAGGCTGAGATTCACTTTCTTTCCTGCCGGTTACTGGTATGTTGTGTTAGTGGAATATGGTTCTTACCTCTCAGCCTGTTTCCCCGATGTAGGAGAGTGCTAGCCGGAACAGTGTCCAGCCAGGCTACAGAGCCTTGCCTCCATCTTCCGAGGATCTACCCCACAACTGGCATTCTGGGTGTAGACTGGAATGGAGGCAGCCCTCAAAAATGCCTGACCTGGGGCCAGCGAGATAGCTCTGCAGTCTAAAGCACCTGTTTAGGGAAGCTTAGACAAGCAAAGGGACCACGGTTCAATCCCCGGCACCACATGCCCTCCCAGCCCCGCCCCAGGGCAGTCACACACACACACACACACACACACACAACACACACACACACACAATGCCTGACCTGGATGTAGTGGAGAATACCAATAATCCCAACTACTTGGGGGACTGAAGCAAAAGGATCATAAATTCAAGCCCAGCCTGGGCAACTTAGGACCCTAGGAAGACCCACAAACACACACACACCGTGCGTTCAGCAAATCACAGTGACCACCCCCAGGGAAGGCCAGAGTCTCATGAACAGGAGGCTCATGCTATCCTCAAGTGAGACTGGGCCATGCGTTCCCTGTGCTGAGAGGTGGTTGCTGAGTGCCTGCTGAGGACTGGTCACTGCCCTGATGACTGACAACTGAGGGCTCAACTGAAGTGGGCCTCTCTCAAGTGCCCCAGCAGTACCCCCACCATCTCAGGGAGGAAGGGAGCCCTGCAGCCTTTCTCTCACATTAGCTTGTGATGTCTCTTGCTCCTCTCCCGTTCTGCAAGAGGACCTGCAGGCAGGGAAGAGCTGTGAGAATGGGTGGGTGGGGACAGGGGTAGGCTCAGCAGGGAGGTTACAACAGGCAAGGCTTAGCACCTGCAAGCAGGCACAGGGGCCAGGTTCAATCCCCAGGCCTGCTGTGCTGGCCCTGCCCCCAGGGTACACTGAGCCAGCAATTAAGACTGTGCGTGGTGGCGCTCACCTATAATCCCAGCTCTTGAGAGGCTGTAAGCAGGCGGATCACTACAAGTCCGATCTAGTAGTGAGACCCTGAATACCCTGTAGATCCTTCCTAAAGTACAAAAAATAAAAATAAATAAATGAAAAAAAAAGGCAAGGCTTGGATGAATGCAGGAAATGTGGGGAGTGGGTGACCATGGAAGCAAAGGGATGGCAGGAAAACTACCGTGGCCAAGGAATTAGCAGGGCCCCATCACACAGGGTAGCGGGAAAGCCCAGAGTTGGTTCTGAGTGGAGGCCTTGCCTCCATCATGAACAGCTACCGTGGAGCTGTACTGTGGACATAATAGGTCACAGCAGTGCTGCCCTGGGTGGGCTCAGGAATCCTTGCTGTCAGACTTACTGGGGCCTGAGAAGGGTAGTAAATTGCCATGATCAAATCAAGAGTCCAGAGCTGCCCCTGACCAGGGCTGGTCTTGCAGCTGTGACCCTCTCTCAAGGATGCTTGAGGAGGATACCTGGGAGAGGATCTTTTTTGCTAGAAACCTGGTGCCCTGGATAAGGCGTTGGTATCAAAGACATTCTTTCTTTCCAAGAAGATGGCCTTTCCTGTCTTTCTGGGTTCAGGCCCTCCTCACCTACAGCACCCAAGAATGGTGCCCGGCTTGCTAAGGTCTATGGGGGTTAGGAGAAGAAATTAGAAAAGCCCCTCAGAACAGGTCCCCAAGTCTCTGAGAGGAAGCTGGTCTCAAAGGGGAGAGCAGGTGGATATGAGCTCTCTGAGGGATATACTGCTCTCCCACCCAGCCCTAGGCCTCTGCAAATCTGCTCCTTCAGCTTGGGCATTTTTCATCCTCAGCCTTTGGCTGCTTTCAGATCCTGGCTCAGATGTCACTCTCCAGGAGGCCTCCTCTGATCTTCCAGTCTAGATTAGGTTCCCTGCTGAAGGCTCCCAGGAACCCTGTCCCTGTCCTTACTCCACATTCCAGCACAGCCCCTGTTGCATCTTCCAGAAGACAGGCTCACTTCAGATGCCTGATGGCATGTCAGTACTCCCCTAAGCCTCTTCTTCCTCTTCCATCCCCAATGTTACCCCATTTACCCAATGCTAGGCCCAGGCCCAGGCCTCTCTCTGTCTACACACATGTGACCCAGAGCCATAACAGATGGATTCTGCTGTCAGGGCAAGGCTTGATCATGATGATGGGCTGTTTTCTGGCCCTTGCTGTTCCTCTGGGAGAAGCTGAGGTTCCCAAGGGCATATGTAATCCGGTGTACACATGTCATACACCCCATCCACATGGCTTGGTGACCAACTGGCTGATCACCAAGAAGAACAAGTATCCTAGAAACACTTTTCCTTCCCCTCTGGTGCCTATGGATTCCTAAGAGATGGGCCACCATGTTTCAAGTGTATATGCTGAAGGTGGGGTGCACCCCTGGTCCTAAAGGGGCTAGGACAAATGTAGTATGAGCTTCTGCTTGATGCCAGAAAGACATCTTTGTAATGGGGTCTATCTTCCCTTCCCCATGGCAGATGAGGAGGGGCCATGCACTGCAGTGCATGGTCCTGCCTACTGGTGCCTGAGCCAGCCCACACCCAACAAAGCTTCCCCCAGCTGCCCATGGAGGGCTGCTGAGCTCAGACTCGTTTGCTTGCGAACTGTGGGATAGTGTGGTGTCTTCCTGGGTTGGTGTCTAGACAAATGTTGTCTAAGCTAGGCCAGGAGAACACTGTAAAGGGGCTGGCAACTCTTGTCCTGTACAGAACTTGTGATTACACATTTATACCACACATCTGCATCCACACATGTATATATACATAAGTACACACAACACACAGAGCCACTTATATATCCACATACCAACATATGCATATGTGCAGAACTACATAATTCATGCGTGCATACATACTGTTACACACACACACACACACACACACACACACACACACACACACATTCAGGCCCTTGTGTGGGCACTTGCCACTCCTGTTGGATGGGTTCCTACAGATAAAGTCTCCAAGGGGTTGTTGCTGGGCTGGTGGGATTCATAATTCTCTCACCAGTAGTTAGTCATCTGAGCTCCCCCTTCCCGATTGGCTGTTGCTGGGATCTCTGCTCTGGATGGAGGAGAGATGAAGGCACACTTGTCTTCCCCCCAGCAGGAGACTGCCAGGCCCTGGTTGATAGCAGTATGACTAACCAATGCCTGTCTGGAAGGGGTGAGAGTATAGGACCCTGGGGGGCAAACAGCTCTTGTGGAAGAGAGAGTCAGGCCCAAAGGCAATGAGAGCCCAAGACCAGGCCTGGGTCTGGGAGTCCTGCTTGGAGAGAAGGCAGAGGGAGAGAGAAAAGCCAGCCCTTCTCTGCCCATTCATTCTCAAACATTTCCTGATGCCTCCCCTGTACCAGGACTGTACAAGGTGATG